AGGAAACCCTTTGTAGCTCCCCATTCCATTTTGTGACTAGGGAGATGGAGGGGCAGGGACTCTGAGGTTCATGGAATCTGAGATTATCTGAGGTTGGAAGAGCTTGTGAGACACCAAGCTCTCATTTTCAGATCTCTGCACCAATATCATTTCTTCACACAGGAATTCTCTGATCAACTCAAAACACCCTGATCCACTCTTCTTCCCCTTTGTTTCCCTGGTCCTGTCACTTCCTAATGTCACAGTCCCTGTCCTGTCATTCACTGCTGTCTCTCTTGCCCTGCGCCCCAGGAGGGCAGAAGCTCAGTTTGTCTTTTTCTTTTTTGCAGTTTTAAGCCAGGGCCAGGTGTACAGAATTAAGACTCAGTTTGTCTTAATTGCTGTTGTATTCCCAGGGCCAAGGACAATGTCTGACATGTGGAAGGTGCCCCCAAAAGATTGTTAAGAAGGGAGAAAAAGAGGCCCTGGACATTGCAGCCCTGGTACCAGGCCCCTTCTCTGCAATGGTTTCCCTGGATTGCTCTGGGAACATCTTGAGGTTGTCTTAGGGTGTCCCAGTCACTGGACAGCTGGGAGGCCTCTTCCCTGTGTGGGGCTGTTTCAGGCTCACTGGGGGGGGGGCAGGCCTCTGCCCTGTGTGGGGCTGTGTTTCAGGAGGCAGGCTCCTGTTGTGTTTCCTTCTGCTAGAGGGGAGGGGGGATTGGGATGTCAGCAGGCTCTCCTTCCCCTCCCTCCTCAGTCTGACCAATCAAGCCTGTAATCTCAAGTTCAAACAGACCACAGCACAGGTGTGCAGGATGTGCACTTTGTGTGTTCCGGGCAGGGCAGGGGCCCAGGAAGGTCACGGTGTCTTAAAAGAATGTGCTTCAAGCTGGAGGAAAGAAGAGAGGCAGGGAGGGAATTGCGGTGGGTGTTGGGGGGGGGGCAGGGGAGCCTTCCTGAGGGGAAGAAATGCTTCTTGTTTTTTCACAAAGAGAGAGTAAGGAGGGTGGCTTCATTTTTCTCTTTTTTCTCAACAGTAAAAATATTGTTTGGTCATGACAACAATTCAAACAATACATAAAAGAATAAGGAAGAAGATAAAAAGAAGCTGACATTTTCAACTCCTAGGGATGCGATCAGTAGCTAGCCAACTAGAGTCAGACGGCTGCAGCTCAATTCCTAATTAGACAAACTTCCAGCCATAAGCCTTGGGAGGGTCCCTAACTTCTCTGTGTCTAAGCTTCTCCGTCTGTAAAATAGAGATGCACCTGATCTTCCTCTCCCCTTCTCTGTCCACCCTCTGTGATTCTCTCCTTCCTTTCCTCCCTCCCTCTCTCCCTCTTTCCTCCAGCTGGAAGAGCCTTCTTTAAAGACATCATGACCTGCCTGGGGCCCTACCCTGCCTGAAATGCAAAAAGGACACATCCTGTACACCCCTGCTGTAGTTTGTTTGAACTTGGGATTCCAGTCTTGATCAGAATATACCATCTAGTATTATTGTGAGGATTTGGTAAATGAATACATGGAAGGGTCTTAGAACACTGCTTGGCACATAGTAGGGGCTGTATATGTGCTTGCTAACGTCATCACTGCTGTATTTGCAGGCAGCTCTTATGCACCAACCTGCCTTCCCTCCTTCCTGCCTCTTTCTCATCAGTTCACCCATTCATCCACCCATCTATCTGTCTGTCCATTTCTCCATCTATCCATTCACTTATCTAGCTGTTCACCTATCCATTCATCCACCGACCCATCCACCCACCCACCCATCCATCCGCCCATCCATTCATCCACCCATCCATCTAC